TAACTGTACGAGAACGACGTTAGCCTTAACCAGAGTAATCGTCACACATGAGCTCTGTGAAGAGCCCACTGCGGTGATCATCCAACCCGCGGCCGTTCCCCGCGGCGCTGTTCCCCTGGCAGGGCCACCCTGCCACCACTAAGTCTATATATATATTGGCCCCAACTCCTGGAGCGCTTGCCTTGTCACCAACCGGATGTCCTGGGGAAACCGGTGGTGAAGCTGAGCCCCCGCTCTGCTGGACACTGTCCCCGGGAACTCCCTGGCTAGCTCCGTCAGGGAGTGGGCGTGCACCACCCTGGCAGCCCCCCGCGCCTCGCACGCAACAACTTCCCCTAGCTCGTATCCCAGCCGCGCCAGCGCCTGCGTGGCAGACCCGACCCCGGCAAAGAATTCCAACACCCTGAGAGGCCTGTCCGACGGCAGTGCTGGCACTAGAGTTTGATCTAGGGGCTGGCAGCCGTTCAGCTGGGGAAGGGTGACCCTTTGTGGCCCCCTCACCTTGCGCCGAGGCACGCCAACCGCTGCCCTCACAGCTTTTGCGGCCTCAGCCGCGACATCCAATCGTGGCCCCCTTGGCCACCTCCGCGCGAGCCGCCTCCCAACGCGTTCCTCCTGCGGCAGCACCCTTCGTGCTGGCGCCCCCTCCCCTGGCCGGGCCGCTAACCTTTCCTCTTGCGTGCGCTCTCCCAACCACGCTGGCAGGCGGCCCAGCCCGTCCTTTCATTGAGTGAGGCAGCAAGCGAGGGCAACGCCTGCTACGCCCTTGCTTGGACGCTTTCCTCCGCGTCTTGTCACTTGTGCCCAGCCCCCCGGTTTCCCCTGGTGGAGTTTCAAGGGGAGCCTGCCCACCTTGTTCCCCTCGGTCTGCCAGTTAACCCGGTACACCCCCTGCTCTGTCCATCTGTCAACCGACAGGCCTGACGGGTAAGCAGCCCTGGTCCCGATCAGGAGATCGTACCCCGTTGACTCCGTGAACGCGAGCTTTTCAAGCACGCACAACTCCTCCTGGGTTCCTGGGTTCAACACTATTGGGACAGGTTGTTTGGTGAGGCCCCCCGAGAGCACCTCCACCTTCCCCATCGCGGTCTGTACGCGGTGTCCGCCGACATCCATGTCTGCCTCTGTCAACCCCAACCGCGCCTTGAGCCGTGCCCCCGCCATAGAGTAGAAGCTCCCGCCGTCCAACAACACCCGCTCTGGGGCCCACCACCCCTTGGAAGTCATCACTTTGACCACCTTGTTGGTGTTGTCAACCCAGTCAGGGACCCCTTCTACTTGCTCCCGCTCTGCCGGGCTGACGAGCGGTCTCCCCTCAGCGAAACATGCCATCGCCTGCGCCCGCGTGGCGGCCGCCACCACCACGTCCTCCTTGGGCTGCACCACCACCTCTGCCAACTGCTGCGACCCCTTCCAAGCTCCGGCACCGAGCTTTTTCTCCCATGCCATCGCCTGCATCAGAGGGGCGTCCACTTTTGCCTTCCCTTTGCGCGTCCCCGTTGCCTCACAATCACGTGCCGCCCCCGCACCCTGCGCGCACATGGCGGCCTCCTGATCCAACCCCTGATCGCGTGCCTCCTGCTCCAGTAACTCCCTGGCCACGCGCGCGTCTCTGCTCACGGCAAGCGTGCGCTCCGCATCCACCGCCTCTGCTGCCGCGCGTTCTTCTGCTGCCAAGGTACGCGCCAATTCAGCGTCACCCCGCGGCCCTTCGCGCCCCCTGGCCATTCTAGCCTCCGCCCGCGCCGCCCCCATCGCGGAGCTCTCCGGCTGATCTTCCTGCTCCTGCAAGTCCGCCCACGCGACTGCTTCCGCAAACGCAACTTCCTCCCTGGCCTGCTTCTCCTCGACCAAGACCTCAGCTGCCTGCGCGGCGCCAGCAGCTGGCACCGTCTGTGCTGCCAGTCCCACCACGCTGCCACCGTGTTTCCCGCTGCCCTTGACCACCTCTGCGCCGCGCACCTGTGCCCCCGGCGCCTGCGCTGCGCTGGCAGCAATTTGTCCATCCCTTGCCCTCTGGGCTCTTAGCGCGATCGGGGAGAGGCTTCGTACTGCTGGGCCTTTGCGCACCGGAAGCCCAACTCCTGACGTCGCGCTACCCCGCGTCAGTGCCGCCACCGTGGCCAGGTCCAGACCCGCCCTCTCCGCGAGGTCCAAGAACAGCGCAACAGGGAGGCGTACTTCACCGAAGACAGCGGAGTTCGCCCCAGCTATGCCCGGCTGCTGGGCCCCCGCCCCTGTTCTGCCGACAGCGCTCGCGGCGGCCGTGTTCTCGGCGGTCACCACAGGTTGCACAAGCAATTCTGCTCCTGGTCTATACGCACGCGAAACCCCTGCAACCCCGTCAGCTCCTCCACCCTCGTTCCCCACAGCAAAGCCCTTGGGCAATCTGTTAAGTCCCTGGGGCGCCACCTGGCGGCCATGATCAGGAAGTTTGACCAAACGCTCCTTCGCAGCTGCTTTATCCCGCCTTGCCTTCAACGCTTCCACGGCCGCAAGGTTTACCGGGCCTGCGATTTGCGCCGTCCCAACCCCCGTCCCTCCGCCACCCGCTGCGGCCGTGCCCTGTGCCTGACCCCCTTTGCCCTTTCCCCCGTTCTGGGCGGCCCTGGTCGCTCTGGCTTTGACTGCCCCTTCCTTCGTGCCCGCCGCCGCCATGACCACCCCAGGCCCCACGAGTGGGAGCGCCACCGCTCCCAACTCGTACTCCTGATCATCCCAATCCGAGCCCTCATCCTCCTCCTCGCCTGCTCCAACCGCCGCGGCCGCCTGCGCCGTCGCCTTCCAGGCCTGGAACTCCGCGAACTCTGCACTGGTGACGCTCTGAGTTGCCTGGGGCCGCGGCGCTGCCGCTGCAACCGGCACCACCCGTTTCGCACACTGGGCCGCCAAGTGCCCTGTGTCGCCGCACACATAACACGCCCTGGACCTGCCAGCTCCGCGCCCCCCACCGCCTGCGCCCGCGCCTCTCCCCCCGGAGCTGTTCCTCCGCGGGTGTGGGCACGAACCCCGGTAGTGTCCCAACTCACCGCAGTTGTGGCACGCTCCGGAGCCCCCTGACGGCGCGGCCGGAGCTGCCGCCACCAGCTGCACCGGCGCAGGGACGGTCGCCGCGTGCGCCGCAGCCGGCTTGTTACTCCACCTGAGCCTGCTCGCGTCCGCCACCCTGGGAGCCAACTCCCTAGCTATCTTCAGGCGAGCGTTGATGGCAGACACCCGCAACGCGGCCTCGTACGCCTCATCCAGCGTGTACGCTCCTCCCGCCTCCTTGGTTGCCGCCAATGCCTGCGAGCTAGTTTGTTCTGCCAGCCGCCTGTCAAGACTAGTGACGAACTTTGTGACCAACTCCTGGTCCCCCTCTGGCTTCTCCAAGTCCAGTGCGAGTCCCTGCAGCCTGAACAACAGCGACGGCAACTCCTCTCCCGGCTCCCTCTTGAACTGGACCCACTCCTGGGCCTTCCCCTCCTTGTGGTCCTCGAAGTGCCGCTTCAAGGATGTCAGCAGCGCCCCCACAGGGTCCGACGTCCTACAATGCGCCTCGTACTCCCTCTCGTGCGCCAACTTCGCCGGGTTGTCCAAAAACTCACCCAGGTAGATGCAGTACTTCCCGTTAAACTCCGGCCCCTCAACCGCGTTCCCCACATCTTTCTGCAACTTTTTGAACTTGTCCGCCAGGCTCCCCTTGGTCATCAACTCGAACTGCTTGATAGTCAGCCCATCACCTTTCTTTCCCGAAAACCTTTGCCTCCCCTCTGGACCAGCGCCAGACGCCATCTCCGTCTCTTCCTCCTCCCACCAGCCCCTTTGGCTAGCTTGCTCGGACTCCGCTGAGTTCTCCTCCCCAACCGACCCCTCGCTCTCCGCTCGCACCAGCTCCGTACTCTACGACACCGCTTCCACCACCTCCCGGTAGCGAGCAGCCAGCTGGGACCTAGTCTCCACTGGCATAAGAAGGACTCGCCCTCCTAAACCCTATCGCTTTGCCTCCGCACCCAGGCCACCGCACCCAGGTCGCCTGTCCTTCGCTTACCACCTCCTCCGGCGGGTCTTCTCCCAACAGAACCAGCCACCTCAGTCGCCTGCAGACGTGCCACAGCGACACCCAACGGCGGTGGGCCCCAACCGCTGCTTTCTCAGCAATCAGCTCCAGCAGGTCCCTTGGCAGGTCCAGCAGCTGAGTGCCGGGCCGTTCCCCCGCCAGTTCTAGTCCAAGTCCTCGATGCCCCCTTCCCTGAACAGGGCACTCAAGTCCTCACCCGCTTCTTCCGCACGCCTGCTCTCCCTGATCTCCTCCGCACCCTCAACCCAGCACCAATGGCAGGGATGTCTCCGCGCCTGCCCCGCCTCCCACAACCGCAGCGGCTCTGACCCGTCTACGGCTTCAAAGCCAGCAAACGCTCCGTCACTCTCCGGTGCGTCACAAATGACACAGTCTGTCAAGCACCCGCTCTGCGCCATCGGCCAGTGATCGGCCAAGTCCACTACAAACCCCAGTAGCTCGGCCTCTTCCTGATTGTTCGCCAAGAAGTTCACCCACAACTTCTCTCCTGGCAGACCTACCCACTCTGCCGCGAACGCTTCCCACTTCTGCTGGAATGAGCTCCAAGCTATAGCTTCTTGACGGTCCATGCGCTGTCACCACCACTACTTGTGCCACCAGGTCACGGCAACGGGGGAACTCCGTAA